CTCAACTCAGGCTCACTTCATACAGGTATCCCAGAAGACCAACACGAAGCCGAAGAAGAAGATGTAGATGCTCGCACCCCTCACAACTCCCACGAGGAGGTCAAGGCGCTCCTTACCGCGCTCAATGAATGCTGGACTCTTTGCAACACCCTGGCAAGTCTGAGCTCAATTCACCGTGAGAGAATCTTCAGTTATTCAGGTACCGGCGATGCTCATGAGAAGGCCTGGAAATGCTGCTGGAGATTATGTCAGAAATTATACGACAGCAAGGACGAGGACCAGGACTTCCAAGTCGGACCTACCTTGGACTTGTGCCGCGAATTCTGCCAGGCTTTATTTGACGTTCGACAGCGAATGGACGAAGTGACTGACTCCGTTTTAAGGGTCAGCTTCGAACTGAATAACCACCTCTTCAACACCCACGATCGAACCTTGCCTGAAGCTTTCAGAGAACGTACCCTAGATTTCTATATCACACTATGTCATCGACTGATGAAACAACGAAGTGAACTTGCTGAAGAGACGGACTCGCTTCTCCGAGCTTGCTGGGGCCTAGCTGAGATGCTTTTCAGTTTAAGGCAAAACAAGCGTGAAGGGAAAGACGCAGATGAAGAGCTGCTTGGCTCAGCCGTACAAGCTTGCTGGGAATTGTGTGACTTATTCCGGGAAGGCTGGACCCAAGTCCGTCCCGAAAGAGGCACCCCTAGACCTAGTCAAACCACCTTTGGATTGTCCTCAGATCAGGCTAGCCGCTCATCGCACTCTAAAAGCAACAGCCTTCCGAGTGTTCCAGAGAATCCCGAGCCGGCAGCAAGACCGTTTGGAACGCCGTATATTCCTGAAACACCTACAACGGAATTTGAGGATACGCCCATCTCTCCTGAAGAAAACTCTCCCAGTATCCCCAATATTCTCGTGCTGGGCACCGACCAGACCCGCGCGAGCAGCACTCGCTGGTCAAGCGCAAACTCGACCCTTTCCACCTACTCTCAAGGAAGCAATAAAACCTCTAGCACGGTCACTAACAGTAACTCCGAGGATCCGAATCTCACACGCCTAAAGATCCTCATCCTCAAAGCTGCCATGAATGTTGGGTTTTCACGCAGCGCGGCGGCCGCATCCTCGTCTCACAGCAGCCATAGTGGTAAGGCTGCGTTACAACAGTTCGTGAAGAGCCTCCCAACGGGCTCATTCGGATCTCTCCCTGCTCATGCCACATTACTTACCGCCTACCGCAATCTTGTGCTGACAGACCCTGCCTTCCGTAATCCAGCAACTCTTCCTGCTCCTGGTAAAAGGGCTAATGCAGTAGATGTTGCAAAAAGCGTTAGTTGGATGATGAGAAGTGGACAATATACCTTCTTAAAAGATCTTTTCCGGCTAGTATTTGGGTTCCACCTCGAGGAAGCTGAAACCAGAAAGAATGTCAGCATCACAGTTTAATATCGAGGATTTCCAGCCAACTATTCAGACATAAAACGACAAAACTTCAACAAACAAGAGCAGCTCAAGGTGAAGACTGCTATGCCTACACAGGCTACAAGCAAAAATGCTGAAGCTGCAAGAAGCACTTACAGATCTCGTCACCATCTGGACACATGGAAGTCTCGGCCATTACAACGTGGTGGGTATGTGTCTTGCGATAGCATGGTTCACAATTGAATCATCCTTCTACATAATGTTTTTTTGAGTTTCATAATGGATGGGAGGATATCTGAAATAGCGCATTTCATTAGTCCGTATATACGATATTCTGGTACAATATTTAGGAAAGCGCGCAATCGGGAAGGGCAGATTACGCATTCGACGAACAGGGTTTGGGCCGGAGGATTTTTTGGCAATGTTTTCCAGATACAATACGTGTCAATGATGGATGGGTAGGAGAATTTGTTAGCGAGTGATTATTACTTCTTCTCCCCTTTCTCCTTTTCTCCTTGTACGCCACCAACACTACACTTCTACGCACACATTCGCAACTCCTACCTTCGTTTTTGCTTTAGTTGCAGGTTTGGAATGATAGATACCCCCTTCACAACACAGTCACACGCAGTTCACTTTCACACAAATGGCGTTTAGGTGTTTATCTATTGTGGATAACTATTTCTGATATAGGAGGAGCGAGCAATTCGATTGGAACTGGATTGGAGAACGGTAAATCTTAACTATATGAGGTGTCTTATATAGTATCTATGGAATATTCGCTGACGACACATTGATCTCTCTCGTTGTGTATGTGAATATACTTGTGTGGATAGAGGATCGATGAGCCCATAGTCCTATTCAGAACTCAACTTGTGTAAGGCCTAAGAAGAAATATTTTGATCCAGGGAGTGATAAAAGCATGGTCTAATCCACGCGATTGGAGTAGTCATAACAAGATATAAAAGATTGGGAGTATAATCTAGGAGATAAAGGTAGGAGATCTATACTCGCCACACCTAGTACCACATCATGTATCATATTGTTAAGACGTAACGCCAAGTTTATTTTTAATAAAGCAGCTACCGTGAGCAGATCATCTATGTCCATAATATTAGGTTATATTGCTTCAGTGCAAACTGGTGAAACTGTCTGAACTGCTGGCCCTTTCGTTTACTAGTGGAAATAGCAGAATAGGTTTTATAGTTTTTTTATTTTCAAGTTTTTTCGTGCATTTCTAGATTGTCTGTGAGAAACAAGAAATAAAGAAAGCAAAACCCAACGCAGTAGAGCCCAAATATCCACAAGTCATCATCATCCATACCAAGAAAAAGAAATAAGAAAAGTTAACGTAATCCATTTCTGTAAGAAGTCATTCCCAAATTATCAAACTCCATCCCAAATACCACCCAAGTACCGGTGTCAGTTCCAAGTCTAGAGTCTTAAATCCCGTTTTGAGTGCCATCCCAATGCTGCTCTTGACGCCAAATACCAGCGCTATTCCGAAGAAACCAGTGTAGAACTAAATGCCAGCCCAAATACCATCCCAAAGAACAAAGGCAAAATGCAAAAAATTTCAAGGATGGCGGCATTTCCCACAGTTTCATAAACAATGCAGTTCTATGACCATAGCCATGAGAACATATAAAATAATGTAAGGTATTTGAAGCACCGTTCAAGATGTTGGTTATGTGGCGCGGAATTCGTAATCTTGATTCTGTGGTTTGTCCCACATAGAAACGCAAGTAATCTTTATGGAGATCATCCTTGATGAAATTCACATAACCGACTGAGTTACACCACGGATTTGTATCTTGCTGTTGAGAAGAGAATATAGTTTCCAATCTAGTAATAGAGTTAACTTTAAAGATTCAGTCTCTGTTAAATTGAAAAAAATCTTACTTTGAAACTGTAAGTTCCTTATTGCGGAGTGAAATAAATCGGGGATCGATGAAACTAAAAGCAGTTTCAACAACATCCAAATACCGCCATTTTGTTGAATCCACGGCTTATACCATGAAAGGACGTCCCCGATTTGATAATCACTCTCTGCCACCTGAGTTACCAAAACCTTGAGTGCCTCCTTTATATCATGGAAGACCAAACATGGTGTAATATAAACATGATCCTAACTGCCAATTAGTAACCTCCGCTACTCGAAACTTAACCAACTTAGAAGTGGCTTAATGCATACACTTTTGTCCTCGCTCGTTATGGAAATATCCGGACACTGTATGGTGGCATTTACGGAGCTCCATTTTCGAAAGTTCCTTTCCTGCGGTAAAGTTTTCTTTTCGCTCTGAGCATTCTCACGCAGCTTGCTGGTTTGAAACCTGCACTAGAAGCAACCAGTCTCTGTGTTGGATTATGTGTTGGCCCTCCAAATGGTCGACTCTAACGGCGAGAAGAGCAGGCTGATGATTTATGTCCTTTTTTATTTCAAAATTCGCAGGGCGGAGCAACTGGACAGCTCTCTACTTTATGGCCCTTCTTTTTGCAATATTGACATGCACCGCATCTAGGACCATCTCCAGGACCGTTTGCACTGGGAAAGCCTATTTTTCCACAGTGATAGCAAGCTATCTCCCGCCCACCAAAAGACATTTTTCTTTAGCCTTATAATGCTCTGTATAATTTACAGATACCCAAAGTTGAGAAATAGGTACATGAGGGAAGCATAGGGGAAGTTCAATTTTAAAGGTGAAAGAATCTTCTGATTGTAAGGATGCCACATGCACAGGTAACTATAAATTAGGCAGCGGCCTTCTGCATATTTCTAAACATATTCATTTCACAAAGACCAGATGATGGAGTGGTTAATGTTATAGACTTAGATGAAATTCGATATCTATCTCCTTTGGGAAGCCTTCAAGGCTATGTATCACCACCATAACATAAAAGGGTATCTTAATTGAAGCCATTCTAAATGAAGAATGACAAACTTAGCTTAAACACTTGTTACCACTGTAATGAAAAGTATGTATGCATAATTTTTCAGTTATCAAAAGCTCTTACAAGATAAAAATTTTTAATTCACCTATTTAACTTACATAAATAGCAAGTCAAATGCAAAGAATTGAGGGCATTTTTGAGTTAATAGTGAGTTATTGTTATTTATTTCATAGTTTTTATAAGAGATTTTATTACTCTAGCTTGTGAAAATAACTGAAATTCAAACTGTAACAAATGGTTTTCTTCTCAAACGGCGTAGTGACGCTTTAGGAGCCAGCCTTTCGTTACCTCGGCCGCGGTTTGCCTGCAGTCGCTTAGCTTTCGGCAGTGTACCTTCCTTTTGCCATGAATATCCATTAAATATAGCCAATCCAAACCCTGCCCTCCAACAGCTCTCACGCCATCATACTACTATTGTATGAATTGACCATGCAGATTTGTTATCGTTCTTATAGAGAAAAAGGTAAAACTATAAAAGGTGTTGCTATCAATACTCTCTTTCCTAGTAAGTTTTAGACATTTTGTTAGTCTGAATTTCTCAACGCTTTTGAGGAAACTAATAGTCATTTCATTTCAGACATGAAATATAGCAAAAAGGATACAAACATAGATATATTTGACGCAAAAATCGACAGCAGCAGGATTTGAACCTGCGCGGGCGAACCCATGTGATATCGTATCGAATGATTCGAGTCACACCCATTAACCACTCTGGCATGCTGCCTTGGTAATTTAGCGAATCTCCTAAAGCCCTTCTCAAGATTGTCAGAAATTTTCAAGATCTTCCTAACATCCATTGGCGAATTTGCAATCCCAATAGACCGACCAAACGGTTACAAGCCCCTGCAAGATATCTACCGCAAGTACTGACCGCAAAGATGATTTCGAAGCAGTCGAAATATCCTGGTTTAGCAGGCACCGAAAGACAACAGTGGAGTATTGCTGAAACGCTATTTTAAGCACAGCATTCTTTGATACGCTCAGGCAGCCCCTCTCCTTACGGCTATAAAGTATATTTAGTTATAAAAAGTATTCACGAGCTAGCTCTTTTGCCGGAATAATTTGACGGAATTCACGACCTGATGCCTTGACATATTTGCTGAGTGCTGTTTGAATAGATTGGTTTGATGAAAGGTCTCGTTTGTGGATATTATACATTATTGTACTCATACCGTCGATATTGATGACCCCGTTCTCTGAATGTTCTTTATCTATGCAGTATATCAATCGTTGGCAATTTGAACCAGGGGGTTATACATCAATAGAAGGATAAAACTTACTCCTACACTTGAGTAGACCTTGGAATTGTACCTCCATTTCTTCTTTGCTCCAGCCTGCAGCTGACATGCAGGCTACTATATAATAATGTCCTTTTGCAAACCCATGACCGACTGAAATCTCATCGAGGGGGTGGTACTTTTGAAATAAATCCCATGCTTCTGACCATCCGGGTCCATGTCCTGGGCTCTGTCGATTATTGTTGTCCCATAGTTGGCAATCTGGCATAGAAGTTATCCCAAGATAATGCTTATATAGTGTGCGGCGTGCACATCCTGTGTCATCCGGCACTCAATCATCTGGTGTATATAAGCTAGCCTTTGTATATCTGGACGCTCGCCACGGTACAAGAGTCCGTGGAGCATATTATGTAGACCGCAGTTCTTGGCAACATTACCGTATCCTGGGTAGATATTCAAATAGAATCTTCCTTCCCTTATTACTGTAGAGAGAATCTGATCGTAACTCAGAACTCTCCCGGGCCCGAGGCGGTGTTTATAGTCTGCGAGTGACTGAGGATCTGCAACTTTTAATGACCGATATCTTTTTGAGAAAAAAATCAAGTGGAAGACCTCTTCTCTTTGAGTATAGTGCCTCCCAGTCATTGTCTTCTATTGAAAACATCAGTTGACTTTGAAAAGTTAGTTCATTCTCTGAAAATATCGTATTTGAGTCTACCATTGATACGACGTCTTCAACAGTTTGTTCAAAAGCGTCCAATATACGACTTAGACTGATGTTTAATTGAAACTGCTTCTCCCATGGCTTGTCATCGTCGTCGTCGTAGTCGTCATCGTCATAATAATGATATTCAAGTTCTTTTTCCTCGACGTTCATATTGAACAGACAATCTGCTATGGCACGGCCATATCCTACTCCACAATATCTTCTATTTGAACTACCACGCAATGGCCAAGATAAAATAACATCCAAGTTACCAGCTGCGAGCATTGAGGTGACATTCAAATTCGGATTTACTGTCCACCCTACATTATAGCATGCTGTTGTGAATAAGCAGATACTAGTATCGAATTTAGTACCAATTGCTTCTCGAAAGTATTTTCTGTAAGCTTTGGCGCAGTATTCAGCTCTCCATCTCCACCAATAAGGTATGAGTAGGTGACAGGATCGCCATGTGCAAATATCAGTATTAAAAGGGGTCGATTTTCCGCTCTGGAAAGAGAAACTGCTTCTGATAGCTTGGAAACAAAAGAATCATCTGGGGAAGAAACTATAACGTCTCCCAGCTCCTGAAGCATGCTTGATTCCAGGACAACACGCGCTTCGTCCGGACTTCCGTTTCTATGAACATACTCACCGTACTTACAAGCCGCGTAGAGGGGATCTACGCAAGTCATCCAGACTTGGTCGGATGCAACTGGTATAATTAGGTGATGGTATAGGTAAAAATCTGAAAGCAAATATCCATCTTTTCGAGGCGATGCTAATCCTTCATCTTGTAACTTCCCAGACTCAATATGGACCGGAATACCACAAAGAGCTAGGACTTTTGTGTTGGGTTAGATATCTGGTATGGCGCACCTAGACACAAAACTCCAACCAGTAAGGCTTATTTCAGGCATCTTAGCTTTGTATTCTCCGAAGACTGAACCTCCAAAATTTCGAATCCAATCATCTTCTGGAAGTCCTTCAATAATTCTGTCGGGTGCCATTCTAAAAATTATTATTTGGAAAAGTGGAAAATATCCTCGATTATAAGGATAGAATATGGATGCTAGCAAGATTTGCTCTGGCGTATTGACACCTATGGAGGTATACTTGTATATGGAGCTAAAAGGTATAGACAAGCTAATATAGGAGGCTAGCTTGAAAGTAAAAGATTAAGGAGAGTGGGCTCACAGATATAAAGTGGTACAGTTTAGATATTGGTCAGTTCAAAATAGATAACTTACACTAACTTTGGTTGCGGCGTGACTCATCTCAGGAGCAGAAATAGACTGGATAGAGATGGCTCATAATTCATTGTTGGTGACAGGTTATTATATTATCTGGTAGCTGCCAGTAATAATGCGTAGATCACGATGACGACATAACCAAAAGGCCGCGGCAAATCCAGAATCAAGGCGAACCATAATAATTTCTGGATGAAAATAGTGCAAACTACACTTGATGATTTTAAATTTATATACTTTATTTTAACTTAATCTGGAGCTTTCTCCTAGTAGAACGAAGTAAAAGGACGATATGGCACCAGCGGTCAAGGGTCAAAAGTCCAGCCATCACTCGCCTTCTCGCAAAGATACAACGCCAGCCTTCAAAGATGAAGATATTACAGTTATCTTCGTTCTCGGTGGGCCAGGTGCCGGTAAAGGCACACAATGTGAAAATCTTGTACGAGACTATAACTTCGCACATCTCAGTGCCGGCGACCTCCTCCGCGAAGAACAGGAGAGGCAAGGTAGTGAATTCGGGGATCTCATCAAAGATCATATCAAGAACGGACAAATAGTACCCACAGAAGTCACGGTACAGCTCCTTCAAAACGCAATGGGAGATATAATGAGCAAGCACAAATCCCAGAGTAACAAATTCTTGATAGACGGGTTCCCCAGGGGAATGGAACAGGCAACGAAATTTGAAGAGTCTGTATGCCCTGGAAAGTTCGTTTTATTTTTTGACTGTCCTGAGGACGTCTTAGTAAAACGGTTGTTGAAGCGTGGGGAAACGAGTGGCCGGTCTGATGACAATATGGAGAGTATCAAGAAGAGATTCAAGACATTCCAAGAAGTCAGTATGCCTGTGGTGCATCACTACGAGAAGGACGGAAGATTAGTGAAGATAGATGCTAGTCGGAGCCCTGACGAAGTATATGCGGATGTCAAGGAGCAGATGGAGAGGAGATGCGAGAACCTCACATGAAGTACCAATTCTGAATGATAAATGTGAGTATAACTCCAATACAGATGATAGACATTCTATATACGAGCAGCTCTCACACCTTCAAGGACATAGTAGATGAAACGATAATGGTGGATATATGCAGAGACAGCTGCACATGATTAATGAAATGCAGAAATAATGATATTAATTATGAAATATAACGGTCCAGAATCGATTAATACTCATGAAAATTCAATTAACAAGCTTCCAATTCAGTCGTTACACGTGTGACCGGTCGTTGCTCTTCTCCTACTGTGAAGTCTATTGGGTCGGTTTATATATTAGTACCAGAGAGTTATTTACTGATAATGGTGACAAAAGAACCTACAAGTGGAGGCATGATCTTTTAACTCATCATACATAAAGACATGGAGCCATGCACATTGTTCTGATCCTGAAAATCTCTCAATCCTCGTAATTAAAGCCTGATAGTCCCAAAAATGCGATATCAAGCTGGCTATGCATTCCAATCGGTATGACCATGTCGGTGTTCATGGTAGTGAGAAGTATGAGTAAGAATACGATTTGCTCATGGTGATACACCCGGAATAGTCCTCAGAATTTTGGTTTAGATCCTGAAAATGTTAGAGGCAGGCTCCATTTTTGAAAGTTAAATCAAGACTTTCTGAGAGCAATTATTTCGTAGAACTGTATTGACAAGTCCGGTGCGGAAGTCGGAGTGCAGGTTCTGGAAGGATTCACCCAACTTACCTCCTGAAAGTTATCCTTAGTGTTTCCGTGTTTGGTGTATGCTCGAATGGATACCTAGCCATTTATGTATCAAGTTCAACATAGCTCAAGATTTTCGATTCAATGTTTGAACTCTTTGAGGATATCCTTGACTTTCAAGCGGTTACATTAGAGGTGGGAGGATTGTGCTGCAGTTCTGATATTGAAGACTCAGCCATCTTGGAGCGAGATATCCTCAATAAGATCACCTACACAGACTTCTGATTGGGTTTTGACACCACATTTGACAAAGAGAATATCAAGGGCCTCAGCAAAAGTCACAAGATACTGTTCGACTTTGGACGACATTGACTGAGTAACAATGTCACAGCATTTTCTCTTTTTGGGGCTATTATTTCTTGGTGTCATTGATCATTTAGTCGTTCCATCAATGTATTACAACATTCAGCTGGGACTCCAATGTAGTAAAACAAGAAAAGCGTCGACTTTCTAGATGACTGATGTCTCCAAATACAGAATCATCGACAATTGTAAGAGATTACCAAGGAAATATGAACACTTAGGAGAACTTACCATATACTATAGATCCCTATCCTAGAGACTCCCCTACCTATATCTCTATTTCATCTTCATTCTCGCCAGGAGGCAGTGCGGTTCCCAGAGAGCTGCTATGAAGTTACAACTCTCGAGATTATCTGTGTATGCGAGCTGCTTACCTCTGGTATGTCCAGAATGTACTTGCATCCGATCTAACAACAGAGTTCTGCAAGTAGTGCCTACTATTTCTGCAGAATAAGTATTGAACCAGGATGAAATTGGGTTATGTCACCCCAAAAACCACCATGTTACTGAACT